TCTGTCACAACTCAAACCAAACCAAGAAGAGTATCTGGGAGCTCAAAAGCCACCTCATCCATGTGGTTTTCACTGGTCCCTGTTGCAGCATTCCTAAAGAGGGTAGGGAGGTGTGAGTGGCTGTTGTTGGAGACTGGGCACAGAGGCAGGCAGATCTCTCATTTGTTCCCTGTGCTATTTTTGTGCCTCTATGGAAATTCTACCACAAAGGAAATGGAACTATGGAGATTTCTTGAGTTTCTGCTTCTGCCCAGGCCATAGTTTTCGGGGGGGAATTCGACTCCAGGCCGGTCATCTCCAGGGCCTGACCCAGTTACACACACATAGGACTCTCTTACATGGGGTTTGGAGGTGTGACATAGGGCCTGCAGGAGATCTTAGCCCCTCTGGAGTGGCAGCCAGAGCCATGCAGGATGACCTAGGACACCTCAAACAGTTCCAGACCTCTGCACTTAGACATCTGAGTTGAGCTCGCAGTCAGCACAGTCAATAAAGCAATTCAGTTCTCCTTTGCAGATGGACTCAGTGAAAGTCTATGCTGAATCATGGGCTTCCCTCAGCTGCCATTTGCCCCTCTTCCACTGTGCTTGTCTCATGTGCTGCACAGCTCAGATAGCTGCTGCACCTGTCCCCTCTGAAGGTTTTTCCAACACTCTTGCTCAGTCATCCCTCCACTCTCAGGTCCCTGGAGACAGCACAAAGATCTTCTCAGTGTTCCACCATTCATTTTTGGTGGCTGTGAGGACACCATCATCTTTGTCTTGCGTCTGGATGGACAAATATCATCCTAGTATCAGGAACATTTATCTCTGTGATGTGTTTTTCAAGCTGAGCCATTCATCTGGGTAGGCGCAGGGCTGGGCTGCAGCGTCTGACGTCTGCTCAGCACTTGGAGTGTGTGGACTATGAGGCAGCAGACACGGAGAGAGTTTTGGCAACACGTCTCTTTGTATTCCTGTTGCTCAGTGATAGAGGAGAGTCTGTTATCTTGTGCTTCCACCAGGGACAGAGTGACGAATTTAAACAGCTAGTGGGGTTCCAGACACTGAGAAGTGGGTAAATGCTGATCCTCCCTAATTAGATGAAGGTAAATCCTGTCCACAGACACACAGCTACTCTGTGCACAGCACTTTCGCTGGAGCAAAAGGGTTTTCTAGGATGACAAGACCTGACCAGAGCCCCAGCTATCTCTCTACCCCACTCTGTTCTTGGACATTGCATTCATTCTACGTACAGTGAGTGTTACAGGACTCAGGGACATGTTTGCACTCCTGGGGGTGGCTAGATGGGACCACACTGGCAGTTCTTGTGTCTAATAAGCTATACCTGGGTCTAAAGTCTTATATCCACATTGCAGCTTTCCATCTGCCACTGGAGTAACACAAGAGGGGGACCCACTCACATCACAATACCCAAGTGACTTTTGTGGGAATACATGGAACTGACTGCTGGGAAAGCAAGAGCAGCAGACAAGGCATCCTTAGCTGTCCTGGATGTAGGAGGAAGGTTCCACCTCAAACTCTAGGCCTCTGGGTCAGGATGGTTACCTACATACTGCCAGGTCCTGTAAGCCAACTGATCTGGGCCAGGCTCACAGAGTGAGATGCAGATGAGCTGTGTCAGTGCTTTAATTAAAAGATTTTATGCAAAGAAGAAAAAGAAGTCAAAGACATTTTCATTTAAGACAAAGTGCAGAGGAGTGAGGGACATTTTAGAGAAGGTTTCTCAGATCCCAAGAGGTTTCACCTGGTTTCAGGTCAGCAGCAGAAAGCAGTAGAATGCAAGTGATATTCTTGGGAGGAGGGAGAGCAAGAGATTTGGTAGATGGAAACTGGGCAAATTATATGAAAAGAGCTAAGGTAATTGGTGGTCCTGCAACCAATAAAACCACCATCTCAGGCAGCACATTTCTTGTTATATTTTCAGAGGTGTGTCCTAGTTAGCAATCTTTAGCCTGAGAGCTTGTTCCCCTTGTTCTCTTCCCATTTATTTACTTTCTCTTCTTTACCAAGGTGAAGGTTATGGGGAGAAGAGAAGACAGCAAGCAGATGATGTGTCAGTGCTTGTCTCTGTTGGGCACATGTGGAAATCTGCCCTAGTGCAGCCCCACCAGACCTGCCTGGAGGTGGTCAGCCAAACACAACCAGCCTCTGCATCCCCAGCACCCACCACGGTCAGATGGAAAGCTGGAACTCAATTTGGGATGGAAGAGCTGCACAAAGGGAGAGTATGTTATTCTCCCATCCACACTGCAGTGCCAAGCACTGACAGCCCCTTGATTGATGATGCCACCTTGCTCCCACAAGGTGAAACAGAGCAGGGTCTGGAGGAGATCAGCAGTGCTGCTCCCATTTTACAGAGGGACAAAGCAAACAGACCTTTGGCATGCATGCCAAAGCACCTGCAGCAAGGAGCTTAGGCCAGCTGAGAACTAGGAGGAACTGAATACTTGGCCATTTTCATCTTGCCTTTTAAATTTTGTAGGTTTTAGGGTCAGAAGGGACAAATCCTGTCAATTTGACCTTCTGCAATGGAGAGGTCTGGGAATTTCCTCCAGCGGGACTTGCAGTTTGCAGTTTAACTGGAAGACCTTTTTGCAAGACAGCCAGTCTTAATTTGAAAACCTCACACAATGAAGAATCCACAACACCTTTTAACAGTTTGTTCCAACAACAAATTACACTCCCTGTCAAGCATGAATAGTTTAAATTGTAGATTTATTTCTTCCTACAAAGCATATTTCAATAGCTTGACAGCTGGAGTTCATCAGACCTAAAACCCAGATGACTGTATTTGGCCAGATGAGTCTTACCTCTCCAGTGTCTCCAAAAGAAAGGCATTAACTACAGGGTGATTCACTGCCTTTGAAATCTAGGTATGAAGAAAAAAGAAAAGAAAAATCTTCAGATTTGCATGGGCCTGCCAGGCAAATAATGCCCAGAAGGTCTCTCAAGGCTGCTAAACTGAAAACAAGCAGAACCACAACTTGCAGCAATTTAAGGGTGTCTCCTGCCAGGGAAGATACCTTTTCCTCCCCACACTTTAATAACTCTTCTACAGCTCTTGAAATATGGCATATCAAACTGTCCTAGCACCACCCTCCTTACATGGGTAACAAAGAGCAAAGACACAATCATGTCTCATACGAGCCAGATCCTTATGGAGGCTACATTCTCCATAGCTTCCCATCCCCTGATGACAGGGAATGGCTGCCTCTTTCCTTCTCTTAATGGATCCACTCAGCAGAGCTTGGTGCTTCTCCAACAGACCCCAGAAAGCCAAAGCTTTACACAGTTGGGATATGATTAAGACAAAAAAATTTCACCTCAAACTGGTATGACATTTTATTGCTGTTTTAAGAGGTGTAATAATACATACCATTCAGGCACAGGTGAGGCCAGGATATAGAAGAAGACAATTACTACACACCAGGAAAAACCAGGAGGAATGTGGCAGGTAAAATAACCAAAAAAAAAAAGAAAAAAAAAATCCAAACAAGAATCCACGCTGCTCCATGCTGCACCTTGGATCAAAAGTCTTAAGATCTGCATTAAGAATTATAATACATTGATTAAGTCAATTGAAGATACAAAGTGGTAGAAGAGTAGAAAAAGGACTAACAGTCTTGAAGAGAATTGACCTCTGCAGCTATGTTAGTTGATCACAGTAATATACAAGACTGCTACAGATATTTTGAGGGATGAACTTTCATGTTAGAAATGGAATAAAGCAGCATGCTGTCTGCACATAGAGCAAACCAAACAAACCTGGAAACTTTCTTGCCAAAAGCCATTTTATTTCTAGCTGGTGAATTGCAGGAAACCACATTCATCCAGACCTCACTGAATTGTTCAGTTTGGCAACATCTAGGAAGTTAGGAGTTATTTTAAGGCAGCACAATTAATACAGGAAAAATACAGCAGTACACAAATCAGCCAAAGAGCAACAAGAATTTTATTTACACAGAACACAGGCTGGAAGAAAGCTGCTTGTGTAATTCTGTGAGCACTGGACTCAGATCTGTAGTACTTTTCCTTGCATGGTGTAGCTAATCAAGACCAAAAAATGGTGACTCATGCAATGTGCTAAGTGGGGCTGGACAGTACATGGAATGCAGAGTGGGATTGCACACTCAGAAGAACTGTTAAGTGAGAGAATAGCAAGAGAATTTAAATTGTACGAAGGGTGAATGACAAATACTTGCCCAATGGTTCTTTCTGCCTTAAGAATAAGATGCCTGAGAGCAGGGCACTCCCACTCCCCAGCCCACACCTTTGCCATTATATGGAGTGCAGTACCCCCTCGCTTCCCACCTGCCCCAAAAGGGAAAGGAATAAAACACAAATGGAGAATGTAGATGTACTGAAAAGGTTAATTCCCCTTTGTTCAGGCTGAAGAGGAAAAGGGCTTGGGGAAGCTATTCCTATAGATAACTTCCTTTCCGTGGTAAAGTTTGCTGACAGCTGCTAAAAAAAATACAAGCAACACTAGAATTTTACAGTGTGGGTATCAACATTTTATTTTTTTAAAAAGGCAAAAAAAAAAAAAGAATACAACTTTCTGGTGACTGGAAATGTGTACAAAGTTATGTATTTCAGTGAATTCATGTATTAAAGAAAGAATCTCTGAATGAGTTTCTCTAATGCACAGGACTCACAAATTCTTTCACAACCAATAATGCTTGTTTAAAATACTCTTAAGTAATATGGCATTGGGAGAGCCAGAGATCCCCTGAGATGCCAGTACTGCTAGTACAGGAGGTGCCTGACCTCAGTCCCTCAGCCATGAGCACCAGGCATACCCCAGTAATTTTGCAAGGTAGAAAAGGAGGTGCTCCAAACAATGTGATGCCTTAACCTAAGACCACCCCAGGAAAATCCAACAATATCTCAAAGCTGACAGAGAATCAGCAGTTCCCACACATCTCTAAATTAACTCATCCCAACCTTGGTATTTAGTAACAGCTTTAAGGAGTATATTTATATATAAATCCACTAAAAAAAAAAAAAAAAAACAAAACACAACCCAAAAACAAAACAAACAACCAACAACAGTATTGTAAAATTTACATGAACACACGCAACTTTAGCAACACCGTGTTTCCAGTGGATCTTGGCTGTTAACTGCTTGCAGTTTATATACAAAAGCTGATTAATTAGAAAGGCTGCTTCGGGGAGCCAAGCTTTCTGTCTAGGTTAGCCCCTGGCTAGAACAAGGATTTCCTACGTGTGATCCTCTAGGAGCTGGCAATATTAAAATTTGAAATTAGAACACCAGGCTGCACTTGTTTGTAAACATTTTGTCTTCATATTAAATTAAAATCCAGTGCACTCTTACTCTCTGCGTTGGTGTTATGGATCAGTTGATTGATACAATGTTCTAGGAATTCATGGGAGATATAAGAAGTTTGGCCAATAAAAAAATCTTTTAGACTCGTTAATTCCTGGTGTCAAGTTATTGACTTTAGAACAACATCAAGCAGAATTTGATCCACAGTAGAATCACAGGCAAATTTTTTCCAGGATGTAGGAGTTTCCAATCCACGCTAGCAAAACGATTTAAGTTTTGCATGATCCCCATTCTGCAGATTGGAACACAGGTTTGAAGGGAAGCAGTTTGCCAAGGTCACAGGCAGCATCAGTAACACAGCCCCAAAAGAGCTGAAGATTCTTGAACACCTGACTCATGTTGGACAGCAATGCCCACTTCTCTCCTGACTCCTACAGCCCTCAATCCCCTTCTATTAGGAAAAGATTACATGATACTGCATTTGGAGGAAGGCTTACAGGGAAATGTCAAAAGCAAATGCATCAGGGACATAAAAAAAAAAAAAAAAAGACTAGAATATCTCAAGACAGGTAAAAAACTCTTCCTGTTGTTCTTGAAGCTCTTCTTAACTTCTCCTCCTCTTTGCCAATTGCAGTCCTGAGTAATGAATACCTGCCAGATCAGGGTGGCAGCTTCCTCAGACCCTCTCCTTGTGCTTCACATTAGCCAGCTTGACTGTTTCCTGCTCAGAGGCAGGTGGTGAAGGCTCATCGTGACATCCAATCATCAGCTGGTAGACTATCACTCCTGCAATTGCCCCAAGGAAAGGAGCAACAACTGGAACCCACCACCAATGGTTGCAAGCCCTGGCAAATAAAAAGGAAGTGCACAAAGTGAGAACTGCAGCCTAAGCATTAGGATATTTGTGTTTGGATCTGGAGCAATGCAAGAATCTGGTCCAGTCCAACCATCACACGGACTTGCACAAGACAACAGTACCCACATGTCTGCAGCATTTCCAAGGCAGATATTGCCCCCCACCCCACCCTGCAAGTCCAGGTGACAAGCAACTCAGAACACCTATTTTCAGGACTTCCAAGACTATCTCTTTACTAAGAAAAGAGAGAAGCATTTGCAGTGCCTAAACTAGGCATCTTCAATTCCCTCCCACAGCTTGCAGGAAAGCTGCCCTTGATAACAAGAATCCTCTATTGCTCATGGCTCTCTTAATTTTCTCCAGAAACAACAAAATTCGAGTATAACAAACAACCTCCATTTTCTACTGATAAAAAACCCCCAAGATATGCTCACATTAAAGGTACAACTGAAATTCTCATGGATGCTCCTAGATTTCCTCTTTGATAGCAAAGTTATGTCATTTGCTCTCACCACTGGAATCTGCCCAGCTTCTGTGCTTACTTAAGAAGTCAAAGCAGAGCAAACAGTGCCTTTTAAAAACATTTAGGCAATCCAAAGACGCCTCATGGGTGCCAAGACACTTTATCATGCCAGAGTGCATCTATTTGGACTCATAATTTATTTTGCCTTGATCCACAAGGTTTTCATTGGCAAGAACTTACCCGAACACCTCCGTACCCCAGCCAGCGATGGCTGTGAAGAGACGAGGCCCAAAGTCCCTGGCAGGGTTGACAGCATAGCCAGAGTTGAAGCCCATGGAGGTTCCAATAACAAGGACAACAAAGCCAACTGTGAAAGCCTCCAGCCCTGTGGGGACGGGGTTGTTGAAGGGATCAACAATAGCCAAGACACAGACAATGAGGGAGGCGGTGCCAATGAACTGGAGAGGGATGGGAAAGAAAAAGAAAAATTTAATACAGGTTAGTCTTTTAACCAAGTTATTTAACTCCTCTTGGACATAATTTTCTTAACTGGAAGAGCTACACTAAGTCATCCCGTGACGTTATCAGACCACAGTAGACTGCACCCATGGGAACAGGAGAGTGGAACATGCTCCTCCTGACAGCCCATAGTGTCAGCCAAGCTCACACCTTTTTCCCTACCCACAGAAGAACCATGAATAACTGTTTAGGAAACCAGGAAAGTTGAAAACATCTTCCTAAACCTGCTTCCAACATGCCATAGCTGGGTGGCAGCTGTCCCTTTTGTGGTAACCTTAAGGAGACAGTCACATTCAAAAACCACCACCATCCCACATCCAGTTGATGTCTGGATTGCGCAACAGCCACAGTAGAAGAGTGAGAGTGAGAAAGAGCCAACATTTCTCATGCTGTGGCTCTTCAGGGACTGAGAGCAAATTATATTCTTTTCACTGGTGTCTTGACCAGTGTTGTATCACTGGTCAACCCCCCCAACACCTTGCTGTGAGGTCATTTCTGGCCTTGCTCTCTCTTCCTATGGGCTATTGAGATATCCATGTCAGCTCCAAAAACCTTTCCACTATCTCTTCTTAAAATTGCAATTCATTTTCTAACTAAAGGTGAGGCCCAGAACCACCTCAAAATATTCCTCTTCGAATGCACCTTCACACTCCCAGCACCATCTTACCTGGTCAAAGAATCCATTCACAACATTCAGATGCTCAGATGGGTAGGTGGCAAAGATACCAGCAGTGCCATTCTCTCCTATTGTGTACAGCCGGTTAGAGCCAAAAGCCCAGATGGCATCTAGAGGCAGGGATAAGAAAAGAGAAAGGTGAAGAGGTCAGTCATTTTACAACATGCATGGGACAGAAGACCCTGCTTGGAAAATTACTAAAACACAGGCTCCACAGAGCCATGAAAATTGAGATAGAACTTCCTGGGCACCCCACTGCTGTATGTTGCAAACCCATTTGCTGTAGACCGAACATTCATTTGGAAATTACTTTTCTGGAAGATCTGTTTCAGTCCAGACAGCAGATAGAGGACAGGCTATTCAGTGGTCCACCAATCATTACTCAGGGGCAAAGAGTGGCACATTAACAATGCTGTTTGGCCTTCAGATTGATTTGAAGAGGCTTGAACCCATCATCATGAGAACAAGAAAGCCATCTCAGAAACACAGCAAGGAGGTTTGATGGATCTCTGCTCTGCAAGAAAGTTCTCCTCTCTGATCCGATAACCTCCCTCCCTGCAGTGAGTCACAAAGAGCAGTAGTCTCACTCTAAAAAGCACACAAGGTTTCCACACTTACCGTAGTACAGCCCAAAGACTATGCCAGCTCCAAGGAAAGCCCCCAGGGTTTGTGCAAGGGCATAAATTGGCAGCTTGATCCAGGGCTCCCGGGCCAAGAAGCACATGGCAAAAGTGACAGCTGGGTTCAGGTGTCCACCTGCAGAGAGGTTGGTGGTTAGTGTGCTTTTACGGGCAGAATTTTGGTCCCAGAGTTGTGCCAAGGGTCACTAGCTTCCATGACAGCGCCTCATAGGAGAAGTACAGCCATCTAGGCCTACACAATTGACACAGGTGAAATCCACCCTACATGAAGCCCCACATACCTGATATCTGTCCCGCAATCAGAATGCCAAGTGTTACAGCAAAGCCGAAGGCCAGGTTGACAGTCAGGAAACTTCCATGAGACCCTCTGCTGAGCACGATCTGCGCAACGGAGCCACAGCCGAAGAGCTACGAGGAGAAGAGATTGAAATTATCACCTGTTTCACATCAGGGCTGGTTGCTGACCCCATCTGCAACTGCTCCACTTAACACCTGCTTGCACCATCACAGCCTACTCATGACTCAGATCCTTTCAAAGCTTCAATCTTTGGTCAAAGTATCCAGACATCACCTCTAGGACAGAAGGGAAGGGAAAAGGGCACAGACAAACCTACCTCCTGGCAGAGGGAACCAAAACGAGGGCCAAAATCAAAAGCAAGATAGATCTACAGGAGGCTGGAGTTCTTTATCCAAGTATCTAATTTTGAAGTGGTAGGTGAGACGGATCAGCCAGACAGCATCCTGGTCTGAGGTATTCACAGTGCAAGTATTCTGATGAGGGATATGGGTACCTTTTAGTTAAAGGCTAATAATCGTTTAACACAGTAGCGCAAAGATTGGTAGGAAACAACTTTTTAATGCCTGGAAATACAGTCATGACTGAAGAAGGCCACATTCAGCCTGACATTCATGGAGTTCTCTTTCAAGCTCCGTCAATTTCTTTGGAATATGGACTTTTCAGTCCATATTCCAGACAGCTTGCCATCAGCACAGTGAGAGTCTTGGACTCCTGTCCAAGATTAGGGGTGCACTAAGCACTTTGGTGGACAAAAGCCGTTTATTTTGAGTGATAAAAGTGTTTCATAATAGCTAAGGAAAGCATGTGTTCTTGCTTAGAGATGTTTGCTCCAATCATGATCCTTTTCTTCCCAACTGCATGCAAAAGCCATCATTTCTATGCTCACCCTTAACAACTCAAACCAGTTTTTCCTGAGAATTCTGTTCAGCAGTCATCCAGCTGGAGGATTTCTGTCTTGTCAAGTCTTTCCACTACTCACCATATAATTTAAAGAGCCCTAATTGTGATCATCTGTATGTTTCTGTCTTCCACTGATTCCACCTGAACTGATGCTCGGTGTATACCAGGGAATATCACATCAGCAGGTACTGAGAGCATTCTTAAACTAGAGTAGAGATTACAGCTTGCTCATGAGATGCTCAAATCTAGGAATCAAGGCTTGACTTTTTTCTTCTGACCACATTCCCATAACTACATCCCCACCAAGACTTTCTGCTTCCATGGACTCCGTTATACCAGAATGACTCACTCAATTGCCACAGAGGCACTATCCACTCCTAGAGGATAAGCCACCAGACAGGTACCAAGGTAGCAGAGTCAGCTGTCTTCACCTCTCCAGCCAGTACTGGACATGCCCATTGAACAACACACAGTCCAAATCAGGGGCAAAGCCAAAACACATTCATCCTCTCCCATCACCTTGACAAATGATGAATTCCTAGCAAAGCAAACACTGCACTCAGCCTGCTGTGAAAGAAGCAGCCGGGTAGGCTGCAGGCTGACTCATGAGGTGGACACTCTGTACACAGGTGCCTCTTGACAAGGAGCCAGGTGCCCAACACAAGGACCTTGTGCAGAAAGAACAAAGGAACCTGTTGAACTTGTTGCTTAAGGAGGGATAGCCAGCACTGCTCTCTACTGGGTGCAGTCAGAACAGCCCCTACAATGTCCTCACCAAGCTGGGAAACCATGGCAGAGGAAACTCCAAGACAAAGGCAGAAAAGATGACTCTTGTTTATTGGCAGCAAACAGAACCAGCTGTGCCCAAACCACCAAGGCAAGCATAGCTCCCATGGAGCAAATAAATACTGGCTGATGACCATATTCTGTTCCTTTCCTTACCCCTGACAAGCCCCAGCATGCTTTGGAGAGAGTACTTGGCCATGGTGTTTGCCTCTCTGAGGCCACACAGCACATCAGGCTGACCAGGGAGGAGGCAAGCCCACAAAAAGCTGAGTTTGGTAGGATTGACCCCAGGTGATTCCTAGTGATGAAGGTATTTGTGCTATTCACTCTGTAAGAACTGGCAGTTCTGCAAGTGCTTGGTGGTTGACTTGTTATACACATACCTTTTGGCTGCAAAAAACCGCAGAGTAAAGTTTTCCCACCTCCACCTCCCTGTACACCTGAAAAAGTCTTCCCTTAACCTGGGGGAAAGCCAGGTCTGCCATTTCTCAAGGGGTTATCTCAAGAGGTTATCCTCCTCTCCTCTATCCTACACCTGGCAATAGCTCTCCAGTTTTTCCTCAGAAGAGAGTCTATGGGCCATGCAAAAACAGCCTGGAGCCACTCCACAAGGGCATTACAACTGTTTATCAGATGAGCCCTGAGCATTATTTGGCTTAATTCACCATAGAAAACTCAACCCTCAACAGTTAAGAGTACAGTGATATTTAGGGACAGGGTTGAATGTTGATATGCATGTGTCCAATTCCATCCTGCACCCGTAGAGTCCACTAAACACGGAAGTCACGCATGACATCCCTCCATGGCATTCGACTTTTAGGAACCAGTTCTAGTCATGCTTACACATGCTTTTGTGAAAAGCAGCTTAACAGTACACAGTTTTGTTGTGGTAGTAGCTATTAAAATTTTTTAATCACACCAATTCCACTTCTGCTATCTGCTAGCTTTCCTTCAAATTCCTTTTCCCAGGTAATATGAGACAGGATACATTTTTTAAGTCCTCCTTGTCCACTGCTCACAGAGAAGTGTTTAGGAGCAGCTACCTTGAGTTGAAAGGTAAGGAAGGCCCAATAAAAGCAACTCAACATTTTTCCCTGAGTCTTTTAAGTCCATGCAATGGATGTAAGAGTTCTTAGGCAATATTGTACCACTATGGTCAGGGACAGTGGTGCACACCTAAGGGGGAGATGATATCTAATTCTTTTGATTTTAATAACCTGACTCCAATAGCATTTGGTTGTTTGTGGGTTTTGTTGATTTTGTTTTTTGCTTTTTTTTAAAAAAACCACTACTGTAAGAACATCCAGCCAACAGAAACCCAGCTTAGCACCTCACAGGGCAGTGGGTGCAGCAGTCAACTGTTATACCCCATGATTCACTAGCCGAGTTCAAAAGCGGTTTTAATGTGGTAATAAAATGATTGCAACAAAGCATCACTCTGATCTATTAAAGCTACTCTCCAAGGAACCGAGGTCAATGCACCCATTAACCAGGTTAATGGAAGCCTGCTCCCTAATTTCATTTTACTGACTCCAGCAAATCCAGTGGCTTTCCCTGCCAACAGAGAGGCTTCTCACTCCTCGTGAGCTGATTCAACTCCTTGCACTAAATAACCAGTTCTGCAGGAACTGGCCCAAAGGTGGAGGAGCTGACGAACTCCATAGGGGAGGAGAACCCCCCTGTACTAAGGACACAACAGGTAGAAGCAAAACCAGGACAAGGCAGCACATTGCTGGGGGAAACTTCACTCTCATGAAACCCTAATCTCCCTATGTCCAGGGTGTGTTTCAAGACTGAGCAGTTGGCTTTGTCACTCAAGATAAAAACACCCTGTCTCAATGTCTGAACACACCAAATCCCTGGAGTCAGTAAGGGCTGGTAGGAAAGGACCACGGAGGACAAAAAGAAAAGTTGCAACAGCTCATAAAGAAGCAAGGCCACCTTAGTTTTTAGGCAGACCACATGAAAAACGGCTTCATACACGAGCTCAGGAGGAAGGTAGTGCTCAGCACTCCCCTGCACAAGAGACATGTTTCTTCCCTTTCTTTTCTCCTTTATTTGCCAGTGCTCTTTTACGCCTTCAGGTGCAATACAAAAGGCCTGGGTATATTTGCTCTTGGACTTCAGGCAGACTGATCTCTAAATGAAGATGGGAAAGTTTTGCTGGCACAGACCAGGAGGAGTGCAATTACCTGAATTACAACTTTTCTCCACAGCCAGCAAATAAACCAGGGATTAGGGAAGGAGCCTGCTGTAAATCTACCCTAATCACCTGGGTGGATGGGAAAGACTGGTCAGCCCTTGCTGGTAGTGGGGAAGATGCCAGAAGGGCAGTCAAATCATGAATCTGTTCTGAAGGGAGAGATCCTGAGATATTGATGGATGATTTTAAGCTTTGGACACACAAAGGGCACCACTCTTCATATCAGAGTGAAATTCAGGACTATCCTACAGCTCCTTCCAGGGAGAAGGCAGAGAGGGAGGGAGTGCACCACGCAGAGATCTTCCTCAACTCCATGGCCTGTGTGGTCAGAAATACTGTCCTTTCTGCTTTTCCTCAAAGCATCTCTTAAACAACCAGACTGGTCACCATTTTCAATTTCAAAGCAAGGAAAAACCTTAGACCCCAGAGTCCAGCTTTTTATCCAGCACAGCTGGAGGCAGCCTGGGCAGAAGCAGTCCTGCAGGGAAGGGTAGCAGCAGATGGTCTGTTATGTTACAGCTCTTCACACATCACACGCTGTCCCAGAGCCAAGGCAGGGCTGCAGGACCCAAGAGATAAGAGAGTCTAAGAAAAACTGTGCCCCACACATATCACACGCTAACCAACACTGAACAAAGCTGGAGAAAAGAGCAGCTTTCGGTCAAGAAACCTGAGCAACTTTCAGCACAAGAGTTGGGCATTAGAGAGGAAATTCACCGTTTTAGCTTGTTCACACGCACACACGGAAGCAAAAACACTTATTCTGATAACCCTGGTATTGCGCAGACTAAGAGGCTTTAACTGTTGGAGAGACCAGTCTGGTGGGGTTTTCATCACAAGGTTGGGCACTCCTGGGGGAAAGCTGCCTTCCCACCAATGTGGTCTCGATGTGTGAACTGTCCTGTTTGTAGGAAGAAGAAACCTCCTGCTCCTGCACAGAGACAGCATAAAGGGACAGTTTTGGACAGTCAATGAAGAGCTTCAGCCTCTTCTGTTGGAAGAGGTGAGGGAGAGAAGCACCAGTGCTGCCATTCCCCACTCCTCAGCATCCAGCAGCCCAGACCCCTTGCAGGGAAGAATCAGCAGCACTTAACATGCACAAATATTTCCACCTGCTTTACCAGCCTAGCAAAGCGTTAGCAAATCAAAGAAATTTTAAAAATTAAATATATATATATATATATATGTATATATAAAATAAAATCACACTGCAACAGTTAACTGAGGTTCCCCTTGCCTTGGTCATCCCCTTAAGTGAGGCTCCCTTTGCTCCAGTTATCCAAACCACTTTGCTGTTTTGGTTCCTGTGGTCTGCAGCACACTCACACTTCAGAAAGCTCCCACTAGCCACAAAGTCAAGGCAGCACTGACTGAAAACCAATTAGGAATTGTTTTGTTCTTTCTTTGTGCTTGTACAACAGTAAATCACAGTGAGTCCCACTTGGAAATCAGTCATAATCCACACATTACTTCTGCAAATTCAAAAGCCAAAGAGAGCCAGCTTTGGTATTTGCAGCCAGCAGAGCAAGGCAAACAGACCTTTAAGAGAGGCACGGACACCAGCCACTGGAAATCTGGTGTTGGTGAGTTGCTACAGTAATAACACAAACAGCAAGAGACTGCGAAAATGCCTTCAGCATTGGTGTTGCTTACCTATTGCCAGCAAGCGGTGCTTCCAACACAGGTATAAAGTTCAAGCCCAAAGTGCCACTCAGAAAGCGCATTTTGAAGAGGGAAAACGCCAGTTTAGGTATCAAAGGAAACTTATGTAGAATCCACTTTACTATTTTTGCAACAGCAGGTACATTACCCACAGACTAAATGAACATCGTACAAGGTGCTATACACAGCAAGAGTGGCTTGCAAATAGACAGCAACTCACTTTCATCCTCTTCAGGGCTGCCTTGGTTGGATTATTTTCCTTATCTTTAAAAAAAAAAGAGTCATTATTCTGCTTTAATGTTAACACCCCTAAAATGACTACCCTCATGACAGCGGGGTTGGAACAAGATGATTTTTAAGGTCCACTCCAACCCCAAAACCATTCCATGATTCTACCTTCACAATAAGAAAAATAAAATCAAGCACTAGGTTAATTCTTTCAGGCAATAAGACTATGCAGGGGTCTGCAATAGCTTTTGTCTTCAAGAGTTTGAAAAAGCTGCAGTCATTACGCAAGTGAAGGGGAGGAGGGAAGAAGCTGAAGCAGTGCCAATATCCACAGTGGGACGAGTTTTACATTAAGCAGTGAATTTAAAATAAGCTACAAACGTTAAAAGTCTCCCTCTCTTGGGGCTCAAGAAGTTGATTTTAACATGAACAATATAAAACCTTAAACCCTGATGCTGTCCTGTTCTAGACATATTTGTCTTCAGTAAACTCCATTTCCCATGAAGAAAATTTCATGGATCCCAGGTTGGATATTTTACTGCCTGAAGCTCATGGTATTTACTGGGGTCCAATGCATCTAGATGCACACACACACAGGCTTGCAAGGGGGGCAACAGGGGCTTCTGCAAGCTATAGAATGACATTTTCTCTCCCGAGACTATCCAATTCAAACTATTGTTCAGGCCATCTGAAAGGGGAAGAAAGTTGCCTTCAAGTTCCCTTTCTGTTTCACGTAGATGATATAATAAAAAGATGCAAAGGAATCCAGGTGATAGGGAGCAAAATAAATCACTTTTCTTTAGTAAAAGTAAAAACTGTGAGTGTCCCTTTATTAAGAATAGACTGGGACAACACCAAGTCAGAAAGGTCTTAAATGTCTTAGACAGCAGCTCAGGAACTCCTGCACACAGTGAGGGCTCTGCTTGTCCCCTTAGACACACACACACACACACACACACATTTAAACTCCACAGGTTTGGCACTCCAGAGGACAAGACATGTGTTACCCACGTCTGCCAGTGCAGCCTCCAGCATGGCCAGTGGGTGCCCATTACCACCCTCATTTTGGAGGCTGCTTATGAGTTTGAACCAAACCCTTCCTCAGGCTCCGAGCAGATCCCAGCTCCTCTCCGTCTGGAGAGGCAAGGCTTTAGGGAAAAGTAGTCTGCTGTGCCAACTGATACAGTTAGAAGAAGAAATAATGTTTTTTGAATCATAAGCCCTTCTGGAATCCATGTGGCTAAAGGCTTGCCTTGTTTCTCAGCAATACTAACTTGGCTATCAGGAGACATTATTCCACCTTACAAGAATTTCCTTGTTTCAATCCTGAGACCAACTGCAGCAACATCAGTGATTCATAGACAGCAACTTTCTAGCTGTTAATCACTTTCCTATCAACTTCTACCCACCTTAATTCCAAATAACCCTTCCTTAAAAAAATCAACAGGACTTGTTTGCAAGCCACCAAAGCTGGGTCGCTCTGATAATACAGACATTGCACTGTGCAAAGCTGCTTTCTTTAAAGAGCGATAACACTTTACAGGGTCTTAGCAGAGTCCCCTAAGCTCGCATACAAGACTCACTCACCCTCCTTTCATCATCAAAAAATAATCTTATTTATGAAAGCATAAAATTGCATTGCTCTTTTTGTGGTGTTCCCCAAGTGCACATGCAGCTTCGTCCACTTTCAACTCCTCCAACCATTATATTTCTCTCCAAACAGTCCAGCCATCAATTACAAGGAGGTGTAAACCCATAGTCACTCCACTGAAACCTCTAGGGTTACTCTGGATTTACACCATCTCAGAGGAGCTTGTACCTGCACACATTTACCGGGTGAACACCAACTCATTTCTGCTGCGATATCAATGCACCAGACCTGGGGCACATTGGGCAGTCCTGCTTTCTTGGACACAGATGCCCAAAGCCAGATATCCCTGTCACAGTTTTTCTACATCAGTGTTTAGTCCCCACAGCTCATACACAACTGCCCCAGCTGTTCTCAACTGTCTTTAACTTCAGAGCAAGTTGGGGCTGCTTAAAACATTTGCAACCTAAGGCACTTTACACACACATTTATCCTGCTTTATCCCTCATATCCCACGCTTTTGGAAACTGAGCACTAAAACAGGCAGAAGAGTTTTTTCACCATTTACCACTTAAAAACATGCGGACTGACAGCTCGGTGCTGTCACACACACACCGAGCATGATATCCCCATCGGCACAAGCTGCCATGGTGCTGTGCAGCCCTGATGAAAAGACCCTGGGGAACCAGCAGCTGACAGCAAAGGGGCACTGCAAGTTTAAATTCTGGCTACTTCTTTCTTACAGGATGCGTGAGCAGAACGAAGTGAGGTGAGGGGGAAAAAAAGCTTTCACTTCCTCGGGTGATAGCCCTTGCAGTATTTCGGTGCCAAGATAATATCCCAGAGCTGACAGAAAGGAAGTTTTGCGTGATCTCTAGCAAAACACTTGCTGCTTACAAAGAGGCATTTTGCTCCCTGCACTTCGCAGATACACCAAAGCTCCCAAACACCCAACAAGCTCTGTGGACCCCACCCTTGCCAAGCACCCCAAAGTTCACCCTAAAGGAACTTGCATGAAATTTTTCCTGTGCACAGGGATTGTCCTCTAGTCCCTTTGCAGCAGGTTGCACCACAGCTGAGCTCATCCCAGATGCAAACCCTGGCAGCAATGCAGCCCCCTCACCAGGACCATTTCCCCCACACCCAGGGGCTAGAGAGCATCCCCACGCCACAGCCCCCACTCACCACCAGGATCAGTGTCCCCAGGCACTCAGCCAGTGCTTGCCGCACTAATTTGTTTCTGATTCTCAGGTGCTCCTCAATGGTAGCAAGAACGTCCTTTTGCCGCCCCATCACAGTAGAGGTGCTGGTCAAGTGATGTCAGGCAAGAAGCAGCTGCTGACAAAGCCTCAGCAAAGTTTCTTCCCCAGCAGAGCTGCCTTTGCTTATAAATAAGTTCATCAATGCCTGACACACCTCCTGGGTAACCACACCCCTTCCACCCGCTCTTCAAACCCAACTTTTTTTTTTTTTCCTCCTTTTCAGCGTGAGACAGCGTGGGTGGTTTTCTTCATTTGCTTTATTGCTTTCACAGGTGAGCAAAAGCTTCAGGAGCTTCAGAAGAAGGAGGAATTAACCGTGGCAAAGGTGTCCTGCTCAAGCCACTCCTGTTCTCATCACCATCTAAAACATGGGGCCCTATCTGCCCTTCTCAAGCTTCAGCTAAATGCGTAAACTGAGCAGTGCCTTACCCATTTGTGTGAACATGGCACCCTGCTTTTAGCTTTATTTCCTTCCCAAGCTCCTGCAGGATGGCAAAGTGGTGTGTGCTGATGGCCTGCAGAGGCTGCAGGTGCTTTGGCAGCAAAATCAGGGGGCAGGAGGGTTTGAACCCCCACAGATGAGGCCAAGGCACCTCCAAACTCCAGCAATTACCCAGCCAAAGCCGGTATCATGGAGCAAGACCAGACCTCTCTTCATGAAAATCTGCATCTGGCTCCAAATCCTTGTGTGTCATTAAAGTTTGTCTCACGCTCCCAGAACTTTGGGAAAGCATTTGCAGCCCAGTCCCTGTGAAAGCTGTGAAAAAAAGACATGATGTCCCCAGTGCAGAGCCAATCCCCATCCTAGGATCTTGATGAAATGCCCACAGAATCACTGAGCCACACAGGAACCAACCCTTGCTGAGTTTTATCCTCAGTAATGACCTGTATCACCTTGGGACAATTCTATGGGATAGCCTGGATGAAAGCAGTTCCAGACCATACCATCTGAGGTGAGGACTGCTAAGAGAACATGTGCAATTGATGGCATCTGGTTTTTGTTAAGTGAGTAGTAAAAATTCCCTGGGCCCCTTGACTCACCAGGGCTTGACGCAGAGCAACAGGGCCAAATTTGCAGGACTGAAGGGGACCCTTTTCCTGGATTTGTTCCCCCGCCTCCTCTGCAAAGCCACAGATGCCCAGCTTTTCCTCTTCCCCTTATTTAACCATCAATTTTCCTGTGGAAAAACCAGAGCTTTTTAGTGCAGTGCTGAATGGGCCTTTATTTTGTACAGAAACTGCAGCCAACCCAAGGAGCAGTCAGGAATGTGGTTAAGAAAGCAATAATGTGTGAGGAATCAAATACAGGGAAACACTCAGGTCCAAACATAATTACAGGGACAGGAAACTTTCCTTGTTATTTTGTGCTCAAGCCCAGTCTGGGATTGCCAGCATCAATGGGGTCCTCTGAATTACAGCAAGTGCTCCATCAGCCCCATGCAACCAATGCATTTTTAGCCTTATCTCTACATCCCTCCCCTCACCATCTTGCAGTGCATCACCAGAGCCGTGGAGGCTCCTCACTTGCTCCTTCACTCCACTCTCCTTTGTATTCTGCTCTGTCCTTTCACCCTGACATTGTATCAAAGCCATCATAGCCAGAAATGAAGCTGTGTATTAGGTTTTTTTCCATTTTGACAATTCCCAAACCTATGGCCTGGTTTGCCATTTGTTGAACCACCAGTGTGCAGATGCTGCGTTCTGTGGTGCAGGTTTTTTGAGATTTATGTAGACTGGCTACCATTCCTTCTCTGGTGGTGAGGACAGGGCCATCAGACCAGAAAGAAGCCATAAGCATAGGGAGGTGTGATGTTCTCCAAGCAGCTAGATACATTTTTCCTGTCTGAGGCATCTGAGCCCCTCTGGCTACGAGTTGAGGATACCGTAATTTCCTCACGACTGGTGAAGGGAGAGGAGATGTCCAGGCTCCAAGGTTGATGATATGTCTTGGTTTCAGCCAGAATTGTTAATTTTCTTCTTAGTAGTGGTTTGGATTTGGTATGAGAATGATGTTGATAACACACTGATGCTCAGTTGTTCCCCAGCAGTGCTTACCCTAAATCAAAGACTTTCCAGTGTCTCGCTCTGCCAGTGAGCAGGAGCACAAGAACCACGGAGGGAGCATGGCCAGGAGAGATGACCCAAACTATCCAAAGGGTTATTCCATACCACAGAACATCATGCCCAGGTACATAAACTGGGGGGACTTGGCCAGGAGCTGACCAGGCTGAGGATCAGTCAGTGTCAATTGTGTTGTTTTTCACTTGTCTTTCTTGGGTTTTATTCCTCTATCTTTCTCTTTTTCTTTGTCATTAGTAGTAGTAGTCGTAGTAGTATATTTTATTTAATTGAATTATTAAACTATTCTTATCTGAACACACAAGTTTTACTATTTTTTACCATTCTCTTCCCCAATGGGGTGAACAGGGAGCAGTGAGTGGTACTTAGTTGCTGGCTGGGGTTAATCCGCAACATGGTAAAAGGTGCTGATAAGACCAGCATCAAAGATGGTGCTTGGAAATGTCTAGACAGAGGCAAGCTGAGGAGCTGGAGTGGGGTGGGTGCTCCAACACCAGCTCTGTAACTGACTCATTGCCTGACCCCAAGCAAATCCTTCACCTTTCCACACCCCAGCTTCTCCATCAGTAAATTGGAGAGTGACATCAGATTCCCTTCTTGGGGCGTTGTGAGGGTGAATCACTGCAGCCCAAGATCCAATGACTTAAAATGAGCAACAGGGACTTATGCAACTGCTTTCCCAACAGGCAGCCATGTTATTATCTAGGAAGGAGCTTGGGGAAGGGACAGTGATGCAATGCTAGAAAAAGCAGAGCATCTTTTCAGAAGCAATAACTAATCAAAGTGTGGGTAAGGGCTGAAAGGCCCCAGTGCTGGAACTTTTCTGTGCCAAGACAGAAATTTCCTTGCTGCACCAATCAGCTGGACTCCAGGGACACATGATCTGAGCACAAAACAATTAGATGTGCAGCAGCAGCAACACGTTTCCAAGCAAGCCCATCTCTTGCAGTAACTGGTGCACAGGGTACTCGTACCCATCCTGGTGGTTAGAAGAAACCCACAGATCAGTAGAAGTAAACAAGGAAGGATGTAGCAGTAAGAATAACAAGATAATTCCTCAGAGCTGCCGGGCTCTCCTAGTGTTGGGTGGACATAGAAAGATGTCCATGCCTTTAGTGTTGCCTTTCATAGACATCCAAAGAGCTCTTTCACAGTAGAAAGGTTTGAAGAAAGGAAATTTTCAAAACTTTGTCACAGAAATTCGTGCTTGACCTGCTGGTGGTTGTCCCAGAGATACTGAAGTGCAAGCAAGGGATTTCTCTGATCAATCACGGCATGATTCAAACACACACAGGTGTTAAAGTACCTAGAATGAACTACTCCTATCAATCTGTACAGTGTCAAAAAATCAAGGCAATGCAATACTTCAGTTTAGGAAACCTGCTGATTGCCCAGAAGAAACTCAAAGAGAAAAGGAAGCTCAACTCAGCAGGAAACTCAGAGACATGCTCTTTCCATGAATCTCAATCTTTTCTTCCAGTATCTTCTGGGACCAACAAATACAGCAGTACCTAGGAACAGACCAGGATTTGAACCCATACCCTCTGACCCTGGTCAAAAAGAGCACTTCTCTGTAATGTTTGTCACTTTCTCACTCCCTTCCTTTCTCTCCTGCAGAACCGTGCAATGTGCCACAAGAAACTCACTGTGTGCTCAGGCTGTTATTTTTAGACAAGATCCAAAACTAACACCCAGGTTCCAAGTTTGCTGTTTGTGTTTCAGCCTTGCCACTTGGCTCCACCCCTCATCACTCCATGCCAGGAGAAAGATACAGGTGAAATTATAAAGGAAGATCCAATCCTTGGCTGCTCCCATTCAGCTGTTTTGCTACTGGCTATAGTGACAAAATAAATTCAGGCTCATACATTTCCTTGGCTTCTGCAGAGTCCTGAATCAGCCCCCAGCAATGTAATTTTTCCTATTAAAATCCAAGTTTAGCAAGTTATCAAGACTTTTTCTTAAGTGGGTGAATGGATAAACCTGGACTGATGGGGTTCCACTGCTTGTCCAAGCCAAATTTATTCACTCATCCCAGGATGGATGGTGCAACCCAATAGGGAGAAAAGTGTGAATCACTCAAATCTGTAATGAGTCACTCATTGCGCTGATGGTGGGGTCACCTGGTGCAAAATCCATTATGCCAAGAGAGGTCACTGTGTCAAAGCATGACAGGATTCATCCTTGTGAAATCTGCCCTCAGAAGATACCTCTGACCACCTCCTTCCCATGATCTACCTGACAGAGGAATATGGTGACATGTTCATTAGATTTCATTAAAAACAAAAATTATAGCTTGCCTAGCAAGGCAGGGTAGGAAGTGAGTGGGTAGGAAGTTTGTAAGCTTTCTAAACCATTCTAGCTGGAGGGTTAAGTGCAGTGATTTCAACATTCTGCCTTGAATCTCCAGATTGGCAGAGCCAGGTGTTTGTTTCATGTCTGGGTCTGCTTAGCCCTCCAACCCGAGTTAGAAAAATGGAGACATTCCTCCAGGGAACAGCAGTCATCTACACAGCTGAGGGTTGTCGATGGTGTCTGTTTTTGGAGAAGCTTAAGGTGAAACTGCCATCCTAATTTAGGTTCCTTGGACACCTGAGACTGGCCTGGAAGCTGCAAACTGGGTTTGGACTTGAATTACAATATAGTAATGGGAATAATATTTAAAATCCCTGAAAATAGCTCTTCATGAAGTCCACTGCTTGGAACCGAGTAAAGGAAAGGGTGCCCTGAGCTGAGTCTGTACCTAATATAATTCAAAAGTGTCTCACAGGGATGAATCCCCCAGAGCTCTATTGGAGTATGGACCCAAAACTTGTCCCACTGTTGATGAGGTTCCTTGTCACGTCTGATGTCCTATTCATCCCAAAGCTGGACCCAGTTCACAGGAATAAACATTGTACATCACATGCCATTCCTGCAGAGAAGCCATTTTCAGTATAAGCAGTTGCATACCAGGGTAACTACTGCACATTAGAAAAGCATCAGTTCCTCCAGAAGAAAGCTTTTTAATAACACATCTAAAGGGAAAGC